GTGGTCTCACATTTATGAGTAGCAAAGTGGTGAATGCCTTCATTCTTTAAATTAGAATTCAAAACCTGGCAATTTATTCACCCTACTTCTTGCAACTCTCCATATTTCACATCTAATGCAATATCACTAGATCTAACAATACATGTGGAGTTCAGGTGTTATTTTATAATTATACCCGATGTGAAACAAATCACACACACACTGTAGCCACAGTTACTAAATAATACTTTATAAATACAACAGTAACATACTGTAAACATCCTGCCATTCTCCTCATTGTTTGGAAAATACCATGGATCCAGGCTGCAGACATTTACATTCTTCTTTGGCTCAGTGTCAGGCAATGGAAAGTCATTTTGTTTTTCACATTAAATTCAGTATAAATGGAAATCAGGTTACATAATCCACTACTGTAATACCTATTCTTTTCCACTTGACCAAAACGTTTCTTTCACCATTCTATGAATTTGCCCCGATTTATTCCAAGTAGACTGAATGCTTATACAACATGCAGAAGAAGCGTGTGTGTACAGGAACTGCACTAATTACAACAGATAAATTGTAAATCGATACATATCTTTCTTGTAATTCCTTTCTGTGTAACAGAAACGACATGTATTACGGTACAAAGTAGACAGCTAATTATAAGAAAATAGAAATTACCAAAGAAAATATGACAGCGGCTATAATTGGAAACTGCTTTTTACAGTGCGTTTATATAATCAGATTTAACACCCATTATGAATAGCATGTAAACAAGAACTCCCCAGTTTCATATTCTGTTACACAAAAACTGTACTGTATTTTATATAATACTTAATGGAAGAATGGTATGGCAATTGCAGACAAATTGTACTTCCAATTGGGTATTTGGTTTTTCTGGAGTTTAATGACTTGTGATCTTCCCACTGATTAGATTGATTGGCTATGCTGAATTGCCTATTTTGTGGGAAGCAGAAGGGCCTCTTTCTCATTAATCCACCCTGTCTGTAGGAGCTCTCCTGCAATACCAGACCCAGCACAGTTAGGTGAAACGTCAGTTGAAGAAGATGTATATGGCCATGTGCCCCCTCTGAAATAACTGGATGGTTGTTACCGTTATTTAGATCACAAATGTACATTGTTCAAGGCATAAGATGTATCACAAGGAATTCCTTTAGACTTTAGGGTAGGAGTTGAGAGCCATGACAGCGAAGAATTATGGGTATCATTTAGATTGGAGAAAGAACTTTCTCCCAAAGCGTTGACTTACAGTTTCTCATTACACATTTTATTTATATTCCAAATACATATTGTGAAATCAGAGGCTACACTGTGAATTTCATTTCAGAACACATCTGTAGCCTTGCTGGTATCTACTAAATCTACAAACCTTTAGATGACAAAAATCCACCAAAAACATCTGTAATATGTTACTAGTTTAAGTAAAACAATTGCAATATGGGAAACAAGTGGAAATTCTGTTACTCAAACTGAAAACAAGTTGGCATTAGGGGCCGATGTTAAGTCATTGCTAAATGTGAACATATTAAGCCAAAGTACCTGTGAACAATTTTAACCTTGATGTTACCAGTAAAATGCACTTTTAAAAAAGGAAACCATATCCTATCACCACATATCCCCCCTTCCCCCTTATACAGAGAACAAGTGGTGACTTTACAGCATTTCAAACAGAGCTCTGAGGTTAAAGGTTGTGTCAAAAATAACAAACAGGTAGCAATTAATCATGGAGTACAGTCTCAATAAAACATACATTTATAGAGAGGATTAGTGTAACAAAGCACTTGGTTTCCAAAAGGTGCCAGAGTGAGCTTTTATCTCTGTCAGCATCTTTACCGGAACCAAATGCTAATCAAAGTTTAACCAAGCTGGTGTATACATATCTGCTATTCTCCAATGTCATCAGACAATAGCTCTGGGTTCCTGTTTCTATAAAGGGTTCCAAAGGCTTGGAATAAAGCTATGCACTGGCTGGCACTGAAAATAAACAAAGGAATGGGAGCCATTCGAGCACTGTGTGCTGGGTGACTGACAGTGGACAGGTGGACAGGCCATAGTCCTTGCCCTCCCCACCTCACTTACTGCCAATGGAGAACAGCAAGTTGCTAGAGTTCCAAGCTTCTTATTGTTCCATCTCATTTATAGGACATAGAGCATGATGAATAAATAAATGGAAACAGGTGGCAAAAAAAGGTGTTTATAAAAATGTTTTTTACAGGAAGAGAACAGCTACAGTATTCACTGAATAAATGAAATAAGAATATAAGAAACATAAGAATCAATCAGCTAGTAGAGTAATTGCTGCCATAGATTCATTTTGGACTCCCATATGAAACACCTGCATTTATGAAACACTGACCTTAATGATTTTCATTAAATGCATAATGAATGTATGAAAAGCTGCATTGACAAGGTGACTCTGAAACCTTTTTGCTTGAATTCATACGTGTGCCCCAATATAGTAAAAGTTTAACTTCAGTAAGTCACACAAATATGATTTCCTGATATATTTTGGATCTTAAATTGTTTTATGGTTATTTAAAAAAACCAAAATCAAGTATCTCTAGTGCCTTTATACTTTAACACAATATGCAGCTACCATACTGTGTCTTGCCCATCTTTGCCAGATTACATTCTAATAACTCAAAATACAGGAAGCATAATAATAAAAGTGAACATCTTAAGAGAAATTCAATAAAAAAATAATACGGTACATCAGTCTGCACATTTAAAAACACAAATGCCAAAAGATGGGACCTTCGATTCAGAATGACTGATACAGTAAATGTAAGTGTCTTCTGAATTTTGATATACTGCATGACAAATGGAATTCGATAAGTCTGTTAGGGATCGGATGAACGTTCACAAAAACTTCAAGATATCATCGACGCAAGTTTCCCCTCATTTTGCAATTATTAAGTAGCTTTGCTTCATTATCAGAATTTCAAAACACATACTAGTCTACAGTTACACATTTTTGAAGGATGCAAAAAGTAGCGGAGGACAAAGGTCTGACTTGCTGGCTGACAAAAAAAAAGAGCTTAAGTGTGAGAGTCATGCTGACCTAACAAGAGACAAGAGGCCCTATTAAAGGTCTAAAACAACAAGAAAGGAAATGTAGTGTGACTAAAAACTTTCAAAAGCAAATAACTGCCAAAGCTATAAAAATCATTACTGTCTGGGATGCTATAGTAAAAACCATAAATGACTAATGCCTAGTAATAGGAAACCCTAAACGAGTCTGACAGGTCACTCAATTCCAGCCACACTGATCACCTTAATTAGCTTCTTGCCAATGTCTAAGACACTTGCTTAGCTTCAAACAAGCAGCTGCCCACTGATATGCCAAATTAGCACCAAAGTGTTTGCGCCCCTACTGCTTTCTTTCTCACAGTTTATTCCGCCCCAGCATGTTCAACAAAAGAAATACCTTCACATGTTTAATTATTTAATGGCCTACACCTGGAGGCCAGAGCAGAGAAACAGGTGGAAACAGTAGCTCGAGGGCAGGCAGCAATTTCAGGGTGGAAGTTGTTTTCTGTCAAACCCAGTTTGTCACATTAGCTCGATACCTGGGTAATAAATACAACATTTTAGGGCAAACAGGAAACCTCACATAAACAAGATTTCAGACCAAAACACTGATTATGGTATGCCTTTAAATGGTTTCCTAATTTGTACTAAAAATACATGGATAATAATTGGCATATCATTTTCATGTCATACAAAAGTGGATGAATTTTGAATTCTTTGGTTTAACAGTTTGTCAAATGAGCTTGAAGTGTCATTATTTACTCATTACACTTTTCAGGACAATCACTTCTTTTGTTATTGACTGATTCCTTTGAATGCTCTTTAAGAAATGGAACTCAAGAACAGTTAAAAGCAACTACATTTTGTGCAATAGGTGTCATTTTTGTGTTGTGTGAAACAGAATATTGTGTTGGCTCAATAATAACATTTAAACTACATTCTAAATTTACAGGTGCGACAAATGTCTTTTGTAGTGGTATAGTTAAGTGGGAAATGAAGTTTCTCCTGCTCAGACAAGCTGTAAATTAAAACAAATCACAAATATCATAATTAACATCACACACTTTTGATGGTTCATAAGAGACACATTTATTGCCTGAGTACAGTTTCATTTTTAAGTAGTCAGACCTCTCTACATGTATTGATGTTAATGAAAATGGGTAGAAAAAATATTAAGATGCAGGGAAAGCAGATGAGATGTAATATCTTGTGGTGCCACAGCTTGCTGATAGCCCCTCACCCAAGGAATGTTCTGATCACAGCAGTGAAGCACTCTTGCATCATGTACCAGTATTAACACAAAGAATTACTGACAACACCAGGCTCTTGAAATACACTCACACCTGTCCCTGTGTGAGGAAAAAGATCTCAAAGCCCAGCCGCGTGCTCGAGTACACAAACATAACACCAGCAAAGATTAAACTACCACAATATCACAAATGTAAAAAAACTTTTGAGAAAAAGAGGTGTCTTTTTACAGTTTATAAGCAGTAAAAATCCTACAAGCACAGTTATCATAAACTAATGGTTATTTCTGAGCCTAGACCTAGAGTTGTGACCATATTACCTAAGGATTCATGCACACCATGTCTGTTCAATTAATAACCATCACAACGTTTTAACTAACCTTATTGAAAAATTAAAAAAAAAAACCATTAGCTGTGGAAAAGGTGTGAATAATAGCAAGGAGAAACCCATCAATTTTTAATTACACGACCTACAAACTTTCACTGATAAGAACACAATTCCCGTCCATGGTCTGGAAAGGATTTATACAAACGGAGAATTCAGAATCATAGCATGCTTGTCATAGGACCATAAGCACAGCCCACAGCACCGGCAGGAAGAGAAAGTCTCTTTACAATGAAGACACACTCCACCAAGACTCTGGCCAGTTATGTCTGGTTATTTCTTGTAAGCAATGCAGCAGATTTGTGCAAATAACTGGAAGACAAGGAACCACTTACCTGGTGGGCAGACACAGCTGTGGGGCACTTCTCGGGCTTCACGTACCCTGGGCAAGTGGGCAGCCAGTTTCTGGGGAGGTAAACGGGAACAGCTAGTTTACAGAAATGCATTTTCTGGTGATAAAACATGAAACTGTGGGCAGCACTAGTATAGTTAGGACTTTCTTTAGGTGAATGCGATTTTTTTTTCTCCGATTTTAAATTTTTAAAACTCAAATTTATCTTGAGGTAAATGAAGGAGGGCTTGATACTTGGTTTGTTATTTTCTTTTATTAGATTTTTTTTTTCAAAGCTAAAAAAATATTCTGTAGAAAATAACAGTGGAATGCAGAAGCCATGGAAAAAATGTGCAGTCCCTAAAACTACTGACTTAAAAAGCAGTTATGGAACTTAGTTTGCAGTTAGTTTTTCACCATTTACATTTGGAAGGTATTATGATTATACATTATATCTGCCCAGCTGGAGAATGTTTTATATACAACTCTAGCAAAAAAAAAGCTCTAACTCTTTAAAGCACTCTGTATAACAGATACGTCCAGTTACAGATTGTAAAAAAAAGCAAACATTTAAAAGTAGAGGATTTGTCAATTCCATGACTCTTTGAAACAACTTTTGAATACAGACGTAGTTATGTGCACTATTGTTATAAGAGTGTTTACCTATTAAAAAAAATATATTTTATTACTTTAATTCAAGACAAACATTTTTTTTTAATTGCACAAGAACACAATGCATTTAAGTAAAAGTGTTGCTGAGAGTTCACTGCTGTTGTTATGACGCAAGTGAAATGTTCATGGAGTCAAACATTTATTTCCCCCATAACAGTCTTTTAGGGATGAAACAGCGAGGATTCAGAGGTCAAACGATGGGATGCCCTCTGGAAACAGAGGCAGGGGGCTGTGCTGGACTATTTGAATTGTTGTCACATCTGTTAATATTTCAAAGATGGATAGATACTGTACAGTAAATACACCTGTTCGTGATATTTGTATTCAAACTGGCTTTGTGGCCTTCCTCACAAAGTAACATTTATTCAGACTCAAAAGATGCTGGTTAATTAGTAGGTAGCAAAGTACTGCTATCATGAAATGATGACAGGCACAGGCACTGACAGACTTCTCAGATGATGTAAATGGCTGAGTACAAGTGCAGCAGCTGAGGCAGCCCTTTTCTGGGGAAACATTCTCCGCCTCTATGCCTCCCTCTTTAATAGTAATCCGATGCTTTCGGCTTTGATCTGGTTTTAAAGTTCTATTTTAAAAAGATGACAAAACATTTTACAATCTCAAAGTAAGATTAAAAGTAACTGCGTTTGCTTCTGGATGCCTATCAAATTTGATCCCCCTTCTTCTTCCTGCCTCCTGTATCTTGCATATGAGACTAAAGCGCTTTCTGACACAGACCTCAGCCTGTAGGAATAGTGCAGGCTGTGCATCTTCACAATCACTTCACCGGTTCTAAACACAGGACTGCTCTTTTTCTCATCGCCGATCATTAAGAAGTTGTCTAAAAAAAGTGTGACACAATACCCCTAAAATTATTTAAGGACAAATTAGAACAATCATGACATTGATCCATTACAGTAGAAATGCAGCTATTGTATGAAATCAGAAGAAAACAGAGAAAAATATAGAAAAGTTTTAATAAATGTGTTTTCACTGGTACTATCTGAACTTTGTTTAAGTCCACAATTTTAGTGAATACATTTTTAATTTCTGTTGCATTTTTTATTGCAGGGATATGTTCAATTTAAAAATCCTTCACTTGGAATTAAAGTTAAACCATACTCATCTATTAAACCTTTAGATTGTTTCTTTTAAGAAATTGTTCAAATAGAAACATACCACAGACCGCATTTTTAGGATGAAGCAAACACCTTTCTATTGCAGAGGATTTAAAGCTAAAATTCCTGCATTTGACTGGCAACAATTGCCTGTTTTCCTGATTCTGAAGTGTCTCCTTCCATTTGTAAAGTTTAAGTGAACAGGTTTCTTTAACCCTCATGGGGACATTGACTATAATTAGACACTATATTTATGTCGCACTGAACATACACAAAGCTTATCCCATGAAAGGAAATATTTTAAGAATGCTGCTTAAATAGGACTTGTATTAAATGTGTACCAAAAAAGAGATGTAAATGTATTAAAGTCATCCAACAGTGTACCTTTTCTAAGCAAATTTAAAATGATAATATATCGCATGCTTGCTTCAATCAACAATCAGCATTTCGCCACTTTCTCTGGTGAACACATTTGCTAGCACCAAGTCCAAAGAATGTTCAGAGTAAGAAGATCTTTTGCCAATAATCGGTTTGATTCAGTGCACACAGGCAGAACACGCAGTGCCATAAGTGCTGTGGTGGTATAGCAAAGATGGAAGAAAATAATTAACAGAAATGACTTCTGTAATTTGTGATCTGGGCCATTCCAATTATTCATACGGACATCACTTCACTTTCCAACAAAAATGTCTCCAATAGCCCAGTGTTTTAAAGGTGTACTGCTAGCAAGCACAGAGAGATTATTATAAATAATGGCAACCAATAAACAGCCTAGTTAGAAAATTAGTTGTATACCAATTATATGGGTGCAATGTAATGTTACCACACAAATTCAAATGTTTGAATTATGCAACTTACAACCACATGATTAAATATTATGATGGTCAAACAGGGGGCTTTGTATTCAGCTTCAGTCTTTAAAAGAATCAGAAACTAACAACTGTGACTTACAGAAAACGTTAGATGTTCAAGGTATTTATATACTTAAGTAATGGCTGAGAACACAAGAGGGTGTATAATTCATATGTAATCTTGCATACATAACTGTATGCTTTAACGTTTCTTTCAAATTCACCAATGCAGCTGGGCCATGATAAAATACCATTTTCAATTAAATTGAAATATCATACAACATGGTGCATGGTGGGTCAGGTTTAATGATCAGGTGAAAGATCAGGTTTAATGATTTTGAATGACACGTGCTTTACACAATGACCACCATGCTCAATATGAACAGACAGACATCAGGACAGTGAAGATAAACACTGTAAGTAAGTATGCTGTTGTGTAGCAGAGTCAATCACAAGTTTTCATAATGTGAACTAAAAGTAAAACTATCTTCATCAAGAAAAACATATTATACATAGAAGAACAAAACTAACAGATGTGCAATTAAATGAAAATATGAACATTCTTAGTACTACTGCTTTAATTTGCCTAAACTTTCTAAACAAGTGCTTTTCTCCACTTATTACTTTGGGGTAATTTCAGCACTCTTCTAAAATAAAATAAAAACGAAGTTACTTTCGGGGCGTGAAATATCAGAATAAATTAAAATGGATTTACATGTAAGTCAAAGATACTGTTTCATTCGGGAATAGCCCTACAGGTCTCATACAGTTATTTAAGTAATTATTTGGTGCCTGATCCAAAGCAAATAATTTCAGATATTAGAATGCTTTTTGGCTGTCATTAGTGAAAAAAAAACAAAGCCAAAATTTTTATTAATTCACTGTGCCTAAAGTTATTTCAGCAGTCATGGAAAATGAAAAGTAACTATTTTTTTCATATTCAGTAATGTCCTTAACATATTGTATTGGTCAACTGAGGAAATGAAGTTTCCTTTAAGGAAACTTAGTTATGTCTTTCAAAGATTGCAACATACAAGACTAAAATGAAACAATATAAAATTCCATATATTTTTGCATTGGTACAAACCCGAATAAGAGCATAGCCTTTTTCAAGGCCCCTAAGATAGCCACAGAACTAGTACACCGATGTAAAACCTTTGCTGAGGACAAACCATTAAATCTTTCTTAAGACAGTAGATGATGAGTCTTCAGATTAAAGTTGCCTCCTCGGTATACACGAAACGACAATGCTTTGCGTTTCAGTCAAAGTTTACTGGCTGCAGCAAAGAATGATGTCTGCGACAAAAAGTACAATTAAATAGTACATATACAAAAATAGTAGTAGTAGACACCCGAAGACTGTTCGAAACCGAAATGTTGTTTCTTTTCTTCTCTTTTCAGCATCGAATAAATATTTACTTGTTCCTTTGCATATACAAAAATAGTTACGGTGAAAAAGTCCAAGGCAATTAAAATATTAGAAATAACTGTAACTCAAAGGTTTATCAGAAATATTTTATGAGGCATATTACAATGAACTGTACTGGGATGCAATGCAGGAAACCCTGGCACATGTCCCAGAATATGTTTTAATAACCCTTTCTTATAAACATACAAAGCATTGTAATCTGCCTGCTTAGATAGTTCAGTGTTCCTATAAACGTGACATTAATATACATAGAATATGGGAAAAGAATGGCTTCTTTACAGAGTTTTAACACTTACAGTATGTAGTCTATGCACTAATTGTGACAAATTAGGAATACTCAGACATACAGAAACCATGGATTATAGTTCGCACCGTCCTTTTCTGAGAGCAGTTATACTTGTGGCATGGCTTTCTTTTCAAATAACCATCATCGGTAAAGAGAAGGCTTTTCTGTATGGGGAACCCAGATATTTACAGTATTAAGTCAGGAGTCTATCCTGGACGAATAATACAATCCACACTCCTCTCTGTCTGTCTACTATCTGTTCTTTTCCAAACTGGATACATTGACCTTTCAGTTTTTTTAATGGATATTTATTTCATAACAATTAACCTTTTGAAGCTCAGCAAAAGCTTATGTATCAATTTATTTTTGAACACCTTAAAGTAGTACATTTGTGTGGCCGTGTGCGTATAATTTCTTTAAAGAGAGTTTCGTACAGACCAACAAAAAAACAAAACTCATCAGCTTTAACAATTAGACCTTTTTAAGAAGGAAATGCAGTTGTGTTGCCCTCCACTGTTACTTAATGTATGAAATCACTTCATTACTGCAAGTTGGGTTTCAAAGTCTTTTTAAAGTAACTGCTCGTCCTAAAAAAAGTTGTCTGTGCCTGAACAGAAGAAAATGCCTCACTGTAGTTAAATTATTGAAAGGAACAAAGCACAAAAAGAAACAAAAAGGTTTGAAATGTTGTGACATATTTACATGTGCATACAGTATATAGGTGCATACATCCTGTATATGAGGAGACTGAGACAGAATACAGAACAGCAATGTCTTGACAGTACCGCTGCACAATACTGCTAATGAAACTAACCAACTAACATAGCTCCTTCTGTTATTACAGCACATAAAATAATAATAGAACAATAATATAAACAAATCTAAACAGATGGATGAATCACAGGTTCCTGCAGCTAATGCCAAGTAAAAAACTTTTTGTTTACTGGGTCCAAGTCATACTAATTACCAAATGCTGTCTTTAATGTTTAATAGCTGCCAAAAGGACAAAATCCACAAGTCACAAACACCCAATTTCAAATACCTCTGCATTTTGAATTTCAACAAAAAAGTTGTGTAGGTGTGTTTTCACTCTGTTAAAAATATTGCTTCTGTAACTTACAACCTGTGTCTTACTTGCAATCCTATCCCAAATTACGGTTTCTGTAAAATAGACTCAGTATACCTGTATATAGCTTATTGGATAAAAAAAAATCCTGAGACATTTATTGGCAAAAGCAAGTTGTTTTTGTTTCCAAAGATAAGAATAAAGATAAGAATCCTTAAAGCCAGGGTCAGTATACTTCATTTCTGAAACAATACGCTGATAGCACTCAGACAGATTTTTTCTTTCATTTTAATACATATTTAAGAATTAAAAACCTTCAACATTACGTCCCTATTTTCAATTGTAATTATGTACAAATATATATTCAATATATAAATTTTATATGAAACTTGATTGTGACTGCACATATTATACTGAAAATCTTAAATCGTGTGCTAAATCTTATGAAGTTGTATACTTGTTTTTTTTTGTGTAATGTCCTAAACCTGTCTCTTTCAGACTCGCTTTTGAAAATGTTATCTTTACCCAAGACATGTTGACCATTAGCTGGAGGTTTCAGATACTGAATCCAGGGCAAATGTGACCCTGAATTAATTTATTTGAATTGATGGACATGGAAACAAAGTATAAACTATCAGGCTGCATTACAATAGATCTCTGTCAGTACCACAGATGTAAATTGGCCTGTATTTGGACCTGATCCATTAGTATCCTAAACATTACAGTTCCCATTAACTTTTAAGGCAGCATTTAGTCAAGAATTTATAACATCTGACATGATACAAAATGGCCCTCCTGGGCACTCTATTCTGTACTTCTAATACTATCCCCCTATTTCTATTTCATTTATTCTTCTGCTACGACATAAGTTATTTGACATTCTTTTCCCCTGTTCCTTAGAAATATCTGTCTCCAGTTATCAAGTCCAGAAATACATCGTCTTTGTTTCAGTCAGGCTAAACAGTTTTCCATTGTACTCTGGCTATACAGAAAATTGCCCATGAAAATGCACATGAATATTTTTTTTTCCTCGGAAGCAGCCTGATTGAGAGTCTCACAATAGCTCTACTATAAATAGCTAATGCCCACTATTAAGGAAAGCCACATGTCAGCATACATACCTATTACATTTAACTGAAATAAGGAAAATTGGGGCACATTTGTCTCAGGAATACTTAAAAGAATGAATCACAAAGATGAGCCTATAGAAAGACTAAACAGAATTCCACATGGCCATCATCCTTCCTCAACAAGGCACAATTAAGACAGTTTAGGGATACAATACATTTTGTTTATCTTTTAGAAGAACAAATGGCTCAGCTTCTTCCAAGTATTAAGTATAGTAAGAATGTAGCCTACCGTACTGGTCTACCAGTGAAACACTAGAATTCAAATGAGAGGAAGGAGGTGTGTATAGGAAATCTGATCTTAGTAAGACATGATACCCCACATGATTTCCTTATAGGGATCCAATATCCTATTTCTAGTCTGGGATACAGCCTAATCTACATAAACATTTCTTCCAGGAAATGAAAAACAGTTTTATTCCTTTATTACTTTTTCTGTTGTGCTTAGAGATGGTGTGTGTGTGGTGGTGGTGGTGGTGGGGGGGGGGAGGGTTCCCCTTAGTTTTCATACATACATGGTCAATATATTGAAAAACTTCATAATGAATAACCTGAAAATGGGTAAAGCCATAAAGTTTAAAACTATAAATGTTAACAGTGCGTCCCTTTTCACGGTCAGCCTGTACAGATAAAAGTCGTGATCAAACTGCCTAATATACTTCAGTAAAACTCAAAACTTTTCAAATCACATAACATTTTGTTGTAGGAGGTGCAAATAAGCTGGTAAGTGCATCACAAACAGTTGTTAGATTCCACCCTGTGCTTACACAGTTTGGCCATTCATGAGTGAAGAACATACTCCCTGCTCCACCTGAGCTCCCAGTGTAGCGAGGTGCTGGTGAATGATGGCCAAGTCGGAGCTGGACTTCAGTGGTGGGGCAAGTGGGCCCCCACCTACATGAAGTGAAGTGAAGCACTAAGTGTAATTACTTGCAACCATACAGTCACTGTTTATAAAGCAGTTATAAAAGAAATATAGGAATTCGGTTAATAACCATGTGGCTAATCATTACTGAGGACATACTACATCGTTTTTACACTGTGTTCCTGTTATCTTTGAAAACCACAGGCTATAAAGGATTTATACATTAATTTGCATCTCCTATCTGAAAGTGTTAGCTACAAATAAGTGAAGTTATATTCCACTACGTTTTCCATCAATCGATTATCATTTTCAATTTTAACCAACATTAAATCTTATATCATATCAACAAGAAAGAAGGTTTCTGATTACAAATACAAATGGTTCAGTTTGTCTCAAAAGCTTCGTGCACATTAAAAAAGACCTTCTCGTTATGTTGAGTAGATATTGACCAGAAGAACCTTTATCCTGTTATAAAATTCCTGAAAGCTTGTTCCACTATTACCTAACGGAGCCTTGAATATCACAAAAGAAATAATTTACACAAACCTTTTGGGGGCCTACAGAGTATTTAGCTGCCTTAAAGTAGCCGTGTTTAATTATTCAGATTAAACAAAACAATTTGTAGCATTTTTTGTCAAGAAAGCACAAATGTCAGGGCCTATGCGGAGGTTTATACACATTCAAAATGTCCACATAAGTATATCGAATATAGGGAGCTCCCTCAAATAAATCAAAGGAAAATTGGAGGTTAGTTACACTTAAATGTTAAAGGCAATAAAATCTGTAATGCAAAAATGCATATTAATTGTCCTCAACAACAGAGCTTCGCCTTCATTTGTCAATCATTGCTTAAGGGTGTTACATAGTGAGCTTTATATATGACACAGGTGGTATAATCAATTCAGTGTCCACTAGTCTTCTTTCATCTTTTCGTCTTTATTATGCGGCGGATCAAAAATAATACTGTCCCTAAACTGAATTCGGTAACGGCAAAAGTTTTAAGTGCTTATCTTTACTTCATATAAAAGCCCAGCCGGCAGCATTTTGGATTAAAACAGGGTTACTGTGTGAATTTCATGATTGTGTGAGGGGATTATAAAAAATAATGGTAGTGGCTTCATTTAAATTTTAAATGGACTGTGTGAGAATTTTCTACTTGCTCGAAAAGTGTGAAGGAGAAACTAAACGAATAAATAAACCGTGTTAGTTTAAGCACAGCCACACCCAACCTTCAATTATGCAAATTCTTCTTGCAGGTGAAATTACTGTTTATAGAAGATGTGATAATGGCTTGCCCAGTATTTGTAAACGTGCCCACAATCAGCATAAACACAAGACCCGAAGTACCAAATTCTAATTAAAAGCCAGCCTTGGCACAAAATAGAAAAACTAGATTCAATTTATACAGCATAAAATTGTATTTACCTTTTGCTCTTCTAACTCAACTGCATGTATACGTAATATAGTAAAGACTTTTATTTTGTCACTTTCAACTTGTGGTCGTTAACCCTGAAGAATTAAAAATAAAATAACAGTTTTATTACTGAACTGAAAACTTAAGATATTGCGGGTGTTTTTAATACGTCTATGAATATTGCGGCAAGAAAAATAAACTAATACTTTATTTCAGAATTCCTTCAAACAGATGTTACTAGCAGAAAACCTGCTATTAAAGGTGCTAATTAGAAAAGTCCCTCGTGTGAATGTCGGGCAGCCGAGTCATGTGAAAAAAAAAACAGCGTAGCAACACAGCACGTTTTTTTAAGTAATAAAGTGTCGCTTCATTATGTAAATGACCTCAAACGTAACTTTTAAAGTATTTTGCATTTACAACACCTATTGCTTCAGAAAAACTTCTCTGTAATGGAAATGCATATAGGATCACTTACCTCTTCTAAAATCTGATCGAGTCTGCCTAACGTTACTGGTTCCATTTGGTCGAGTGAGATCCAGGCAGAGACATGCGTGTCTCTTTCCTTTTCCAGATTTAAAACCCTTGCCTGCAGCTCCGAAGTCCTCAGGTAAGCCAAAATGCAAACTCCCAGGGACAGCAACGACAGAGCGCTGCAGACGGCTACTGCAGACAGGTCTTTGCAATTCCTCAAGGACCGCTTTTTGTAAGGATGCTCTTTGCATGACCTCCCCGCGATAGACGGGGGAGATACTTGCCAGTTCTGATCACTTTCCATCTTTCAAATTCAAAATTAAATGCAGATCCTCCACGAATTTCCAGCACTCATGAGGAGATAAACCGAGAGAAAAAAAAGCTATTTATTCTCTAAACTTACTACGTTTAGGAAAGGGTCTGTTAAAAGAAGCAACTGTTGCTTCTTCCACTTTGTTATCCTAAAATGAGCATTTAAAACAACTTGTTCTCTGCTTATTCACTTAAATTTGCCGGCAAAAAGGAGCTGCTAAGTTGAAGAATGACGACTGTGATTTCCCATTTGGTGACACGTTCAGATCAGTGCTCCAGCAGTACCGTAGCGAACTGGCAAAAGTCTTCAAGCTATCTGTGCTAGGTCACTTTCCAGCTCCTGTGCTTGCTGAAACCCGACACATTAGCCTTCGCTGTAGAGTTCGCAGCCACGGGCTTTTTGCTCAACTACGGGAGAAGGCTCCTCCTTTTCATTTATTTAGGCAAAACATCGGGGCGGGATTCGTGTTTTAGCTGCTCCCCTTCTTTGATCAGACACTCGTGGGGGATATTTTTAGGTGCGGGAGCCAAGATCTAAACTGGACACTGTTGTAACCCCTTCAGCGCCACTATCCAAAAGAGCTGCTGTTCAATATCGATACTTGCAACAGAAGTGTATACGCAGATTTTCACAGTTACGGTTAATATCAGCAACGGTGGCTATTACACATGATTTTCATGTTTTGAAAATGAATATAATGCGTTCTTATAGTTCTCATTGTTATTGTGGATAATAAGATGCCGAGTGAGTGGATGTCGTCAGGTTGAACTTTTCATTGTTGGTTCAGATGAAGACTGCTGCTTTGTAAGTGGGGTAAATTTGACGAGACGTTCCAGACTTTTGAAGGTACAGGAAATGGTGAAAACACTTTCCAAACATGCGTTTAAAAGAGGAAGGAACGCTGTTAAAGTTGACTGTAAAAGCGCTGCTGGAGTAATTAAGAAGTATTTTTCTTCTGTTTTAAGCAGTGTATTGTCACTGTATTTTCGTTTGAAAACATCGAATTTGCGTTTTAAGACAAATGTTAGGAGCATAAGTTTACTGGAAGCTTGTTTTTCATTGTGGACTTTGCGATTGAAATGATTAAATGTCAATGCAAGAAATCTCAACCATGTACAAAGGTACGTTAAAATGTTTTTTTTTAAGATAATATGCTTAATTACGCCAGTAAAAAGGCTGCAATTGCAAGTTAAAGTTAAGTTAATATGTAGTTATAAAGACAGTTGCTTGTGTCGGAGTTGAGTGGGTTAAACTCGATTTTTCTGGCTTAAGAATAGAGATATTCTAAGTACAACATACAAATTTGCAATATACAAAGCAAATACAGCCATCGCGTATATTAGTCAATCACTCATGAACAGGTAGTAAGCAGCTTTTCAGATTCCACCAGTGTTATTTCCTGGAAAAATTTGTGTTGGCACAAATGGTTCTTCACAATGGTTTATCTCGAGACAAGTTCTGAGCTAGATAACAGATGGCACCTATAATAGACTGCTTGTCAATGCAGAGTTTATAGAGACGTAACTTTTCCACTTTATCAATAACATCACCTTCTTTTCTTGGTCAAGAAAGTAATGTAAAACTAAGTGTGGCGCATAATAATCTAAATGTAGGTTATGTGTTTTGTGTAAATCCGTGCAATAAATTGCCTATGATTGAAAATTGCTAGCAGACCTGACTAAAGTAGAGTCAAACTGGGAGTTAATTGGCCCAGGGAAGGTTGATCCAATGAGTGTAATTGTCCTATTCAAGTGAAATGATATCTGTCATAACTCTAATTCCCTAACAGTCTTGTCCTGACGTTTCAGAAGAATAACGTATTGCTGTTCTTTTGCAGCCCCTCACAAATAGCTGTGCCCTTTTCATCATGACAAGCAAATTCCCAACGCAGGGTTGAATATTCTCTGGTCTGCAATATCCTTCATTACACTAAAAAGACAAACCTTAGAAAAACACCAGGCAGAGCAGTTTATTTCCAAAACCGCTGACAGCTTTGAAAAAGTTTGTAAGCTCAGTGTTGCCAAACCCTGCTCCAAACTGTCAAAAAAATTTTAAAATTCCATTCATCTCGTCGGTGAAGTTTTTTTTGCTTTAAGAATTTGAATTGTTTTAACAAAGAAAAATGGCTTCCTTTTTCAGTTATTGATGCAGTAAGAAAACAATTCAGATATACACATCTTAATTAAGCACTGGGAGCAACATACAATATTCTTCTAGTTTTCCGTTTGAAATGATTTAATGTTGTGTGTAATTCTGGGTTAGATTTTGACTTTTTATTTAAATTGAGAAGATCGATTTTTATTTTCCTAACCTAACTTGCTTCTGTAGGGATCAAGTAACCTGCTGTTTATTTTACTTGGAAAACATCTCAGCCAGATGTGTGAACACGCTGTGCCTCTTCTGCTTTACCTTAGCTGGTGTCATGTTTTGGAGACTAATTCACTTAGGCTGGTTACCTCAAAATGTTGTCGATTCAGTATTGTACTTATAAAATGGTTGATGGGAGTGTAGTTATTTTTAGGAGCAGATTTGGTTGATTTGCAAAAACACAGTGTCAATGCATACGATATAAATATGAATAAAAGTAAATTCTCAGAATTCCACATGCAGTGCGTAAAGGGCTGATAAAAGTCAGGTTCAAATATATTTGTAATTAAAAACATTCAAGAAAACCACTGAAACCCGATAATGTTAGTGGTAATATCTCAAGTATATAATGCTGATCAAAAGCTCTGGTGTAAAAAGCTTTTGCTGAAGGTGTATGTTGTCTGCAAACAGAAAACATACATTTATTAAATTGCTTTTGTAACTAGCTGCATATTGATGCCAATACAATTGGAAACATCATCCTCAACAACAAAATATATAGCCAAGAAAAAAAGAGACGGTCAAAGAGACGGTAAACTAGAGCTAAAATAGCAGGGATATCTTACACAGATTTTAAATTGTATTAATAAATAAAAACCAAATGAACAAAACAGCCAGACGCCCTCTTCTGCTTTCCAGGTCTCTGATCTTTCTAACATTCTCATCTTCAAAAACCCCTGTCACGTACTTTTACTTTCAAGTTATAAAACATAGGTTTCTCAGGAAACTCCAAATATTGTTGAGTTTACCAGCTAGCCAAACAATACTAGCTACAGCTTTGAGTAGCAGTAAGTGCCGTTATTAAATCTGCTTGTGTGCTGTTCTTATCTGTAAGATATGCTGTATGCTTGATCATGTTGACGGGTGAAACAGTTGATAAACAGCATGAGAAGACAGAAATTCAATCCAACCGGAAGAAGACAACATGAGTGGGCCCTCTTCTAAAACATGATTATTCAGATTGTTTTTTTCTGGTGGGTATGGACGACAAGAATCCAAGTGGAAGCTATGCCCAAGATTGTAATCGGAGTCCCCAATGAGCTTTCACTGATCAAGAACTCAGTGCCACAACTACAAGAGTGTTGGCCTTGGCCCGTTCACAGGTGAATAGTGTCCTCTAGTTCCTGTTGTCCCGCTGGAGAGGGGAGTGGCAGGGCAGAGGGGAGAGATAAACGCTACCCCAAGATCAGTTTACACTCAGTGGTAGCCCAAAGCAAAAGTACACTGTGTTGGTTGTAGGGATTCTTTGAAGTTAAAGTCTTAAAATCATTAAAATAAATAGCTAGCCAGAAGGACCACAGCTGTTGTCTGTGCCTCTGCGTCTGTCAGTGTGTGGACATGCCCTGCGTGGTGTGGGAGATGGTGCTTTTTGTGTGCTGTGCATTTTTGCATCGCCTTAGTGACGAACTGGCAAATAAACATTCTGAAATTCAGGGTTCTGAAATGATGCTATATTTAACCACAGTTAACTTATCAAGAAGATAAACTATAATGGTTACATGACTTTGCAGAACTGCACTTTTGCACTGATGTGGTAACAGAGACAATTAAGAGGCACAGATCATGTTGCAGCATGCAACACAACTTAATTTTTGCCATAAAATATAATCTTAATGTAAGATACATCTATTTGCATTCAGATAAAAGGCACAAGTTCTTTGCTTTTGTTTGATTTGTGCCCTTTAAGATTAATTCATACAAATGCTCATTTATGGAAAAAGCTTCTCCTTTAGAAATGATTTTTGAATAACCTAAAGTGCCTTTTTCATTCAACATAATTGAGCATTGATTTTAGGATTGTTTAAAACTTCAGTATTCCTTCTAGCTTATTACAGTTGTACTTATTAAATATGAATTACTTATACTGCTTGTTTCATTTCTTCTTTACTAATAAACCATTACACACATCACATATCATGTATTTGTTATCTTAGCTTAGTATGCACTTGCCACTCTTCCTTAATACTTTTCAGCTACAGTGTGAACTAATCAGAAAACAAGGTGTGTGAGCCAGACCTATTAGTTTTCTTCATCAGTAAAATATTTCTACAAGAAACCTTCAAAATTCAGCATTTTATTTGTAGAGGATTCAACTCTTTTTCAAAACTTATTCACATCAGTAATTTTTAAAAATGAGAAATAAAACTCTTATAATAGCAAAATTCATAGGTAACTGTTTTATTTTAGGCATGGTAATACTACTGTAAAGCACCCCATAGGAAATATACAGTATATTGCTGCATTGTAAAAGCCTCAAAAGATCAATACATTTCACAGGCTTTATACTATGTGGCAGATGCCACTGGGTCACGTAGACATTGCAAACACTGCACAGAATATTTGCCAACAAGAACAAAAGCTAGAAGTATCCTTAGCACTCTGACAAAAGGACAGTTGTGCCTTTAATGAAACTGCATTCAGATTGGGTGGAAGAAAACAAGATCAGTCTCTCAGAGTAGGCAAGGGTTGATCGTACATGCAAAATGACATCCAGTTCTCTTCCTAAACTCCGGCCAAGGTTGTTGGCACTTTGTCCATGCAGAAAGGACCACTGACACTCCTGTGCTACATGCTGAAACCTGGATGTACTGTAAATCTTTATGAGGATGTCTCTTTGGTTCATTTTATGAATGTGCATTGCATCATTTATCTGCTATCCCCAGTGCTATTTCTTTGTCATAAATAGACTGGAAAATTGCTAACATAGCGCCTATCCATAAAAAGGGTGACAAAACAAAACCAAGAAACTACAGAGGTCTTAAGTCCTATGACATCTGAGGTTGTGGAAATAATTAGAGCTGAAGCAGAGGAGCATCTGTATGACAGTGGGACTTCAGAGATCTGTCAATATGGTTTAAGAAAAGGCAGGTCTTACTTAACAAAATTTTGTAAGCTCTATAACATGCAACAGCAGTCATAAATGCAAAGAGAGCATGATATGCTTACATTTTCAGAAGGCTTTTGATAAAGTTACTCCTAAAAGATTATTTCTACTGCAGGCTGTTGAATTTAAAGGTAATGTTTTTGA